GTGGATGCATTGAGTAGACAAACTGAACTTTTACCGGATAATTCTGGGGACGTAGTCAATCCGTGTGTTATCGTGTCCAAAGAACGCGACATGGAGAAATTGCACAATGTAGAGAAATCGTTTGACATAGAGAAAGCGCGTGATTTCGTTAGAATAGTAGATTCGGCCAGTTCGTTTGATAATAACGTATGTTGCGACACAAATGACTATATGACATCTCATCAACGCGACGCAAACAGACATTCAATAAAATAGCTTGGCAACACATATCATACATATAAGTACACACCCATATTGTTTTAGCATATATAATATTGCCACCATAGTCTGCACGCGCACACGAATTGCAAGTGCATTGACACTGGCCAGCCAACATAAGCAATAATAAGCAAGAATAAGACACATATTATTCTGCTACCTCAGCATAATATGAACCAAATTGGGCTGACTCCAGCATACTTAACTTCACAATAATGCTGCCCAAGCATATATTATGAAACCACCAACACATAGAAAGAGTAAATGTAAGCTAGCTTTAAGCATGGCTATTTAAGCCATGATTTGTATCAATAAAATCAGTATGCAAATTATAAACGAACGGCCAGAAGGACAATAAGTGTCCTTTAGCTTAACTCGTCAGGACCACAATCGTCCTGCCGATTCGCACTACTGCACGTGTGCGAATAAACATTGGTGACCCCGACGTGATCCTTGATACAGGATCACAATCACTGAGCACGTAACTCAGAGGAACATTAACAATATGTCGAAAGCCGACAAGTCTGAAGCTGTACAAGCATAGCGAGGCAGAGTCGAGGAGATCGAGCGGCTCATAACCAATTACAATAAGTCCTTCTTCTGGGAGCGCAAGTCCAAGCCTGAGTACTACCCAAACCTGGCTCGTCGGCTGGAAGGCTTGGCACGGGAACTGGAAGAGGGTCACAGCGCCCTGATGGCCACAGAAGAGCTACCGGCCGAGCATGAGTAATTTCTGCTATACGAGCACACTCAGAAACAGTCCCAGCGATACCTGGAGTTGTTCCAGCAGCCTCCAACCAGAGGGGCCAGCCGTACCCCGAATCGCGATCCCGAAGGAGGAGCAAGAATCTCCGAGTCAGGGTACCATCTACAGGTTCCTCCAGCCAGCACCTCCTCAACGCCAGCAACCCCAACGAACCTTGGGGAAGAGTTGATCAACTTGGCGGCCCTGGAAGCAGGACGAATGACGCCAACAAGAATGATAGCTCCGGGCGTCGCCTCTTTCAACTATGAGCTGAACGCCTTTGAGATAATGGTGCAGAGCTGGTCAGCTCAACCGACTTTGCCAAAGAGACAAGAGCTAGCCCTGACAGCGTGGAACCGTATCCAGGACAAGCGGGATGTACTGGACTCGACTGGGAAAACCCAGAAAGGCAAGGATTCAACTCCGTCCTCTTCTTAAGAGTCCAACAGCAGCTAAACGACTGTCTATGCAAGGAGGCCCCCCAGGCAGTAACAGCAAGCACGCAGCCCACCGCCGAAATGGCCGTCCGGCTGCCGCAAATCTTAATTCCACCGTTCGACGGACGATTATAATGATCTTTCACATTTACTTTCGACAGGGCTCTCTCTCTCTCTATTCTATCAAATCTATTCTTTTTAATTATCTTCGGGGAAATCTCCGACCACTTACTGCTGTGAGTTGGGGCATAGCTTGCCGGACAGGCATTTAAAATTTCCCCCACCGGGTTGGAGATTTCCCTCTTTTTCTTTTCGTCTCCCTTTCCACCTTTCTCTTCTCTGTTTCTCTGTCTCTCTTTCCTTCTTTCTTTTTCTCTTTCTCGTTCTACTTCGTACCTTTTCTAATTAGTTGTTAAATAGAATTAATTTTTCACCTTTATGGCTGTGAATCGGGGCATAGCTGGCCAATTGGCAAATAAAATCCCCCCAACGTGTCGGAGGCATTAATAGACGTCATTGTACAGCTTTGTGTTAGGCTTTCTTATCTTTTATTTTGTTTAGTTTAATTTGTTATATTAAGTTTTATAATATAGCGTCAACGATACTCAGCTTCCAAATGCACCTGGACTTTATTGTCAAGAACGGGCACCCATGGCCACAGCAGTGTCGCAATGGAAATTCGTTAGCTACTATGAACTGCAACTGTTATGGCAAGACCTGAAGATTGCCAAGCAAGGCATTGAAATATTACAGCGGTTATGTAAGGACACTTCGCATAAAGGCCACGTATGTAAGTCGTCTCTCGTACTCCACCCACATGAAATGACCTCCGGCACACGAAGACGCCTATAAAAGGAGGCTGCATGGCTAGAAGCAATTCGGACGCAGGTTAATGAAATCAGCAACGGCAAAGCGTTTGACTGGCATAAACATGAAGACAACATCTATCACCCCCACTGACGCAGTGTGCTCACTAACCAGTACACATTATTTCCTACCGGAGCACCCTACATTTACGTCGCAAGTACTAGAAGCATATCCGGCGTGTGTATCCATCGACAAGGAAGAACCTAAAAGGCAAATACACTACTTGAAGACATAAAGCCAGTTTCACTTAGTAGCAGTCATCGCCACCATTGGAACCTACGTAACCCTGATCATCTCGATCAATTTGTGGCTACGACGTCAGCCACTGAGCAATACCAATCCCGATTCCAATCTGGCCTACACCGCAACCATCAAATCGGCATCACGTTCCAGACGGAGACGACAACGAATCCGCATCAGCTATCGGAATTAATATAAGTAAGCAAATATTTAACACAATGACACCTATACATACATGCCAGCTTACTTTCCCTTAACACTCACCATAAGAAAGGTCAGCAGGTACTCAGAAGCAAACTACATTAAGAAGTAGTTGAAGAAGAAGCTTCAAAGAATTTTCTTCTGGAATAGGTTTTTCTACCTGTTGTATAAATTAATCAATTTTATGTTTATTTTATATAAAAAAATATTTATTACAGCACTATGTGCTTATTGTCGAGTTGATTACAAACTGAACTTAATATTTAAGCTAAGCCCTAACGAAAACTTTGTCCCAACGTTCCTACGTTGACGTCGGCGTCGACGTTGCACCGAGAATCGCTGAGACCACATTTTGGCCTTCTTGGGAACCAATAGTTGCCATCGGTTCCGCAGACTGCTGAGGTTGCGATCCCACGGTAGCTGCCTTGCCAGCGCGTTGACCCCGTATGTACCGAATTGGATACTCAACACTTTATGTCATTTATGGCATTTCCCAGCACGTTGATTTGCCACGTGCGGCGGTCAGTGCGACAATTTGGTACTCAATGTTGGCGTTTTGAGTAACTAAAGTGTTAACTCCTCCCTCCCTGATCTCGAACGTCCCGGTCGATGAATTTAAATCCGGGGAGATCATGGATGCTTCTAGGTTTTTTAGTATGGCTTTCCAAGGGAGTTTCTGCCGTGTTGATCCTCTTTGGGCGCAGCACTTCGCTTGAGGGATTGCTTTGTTTCTCCACTACTTTTGTGCTCGGTCCGCACATCTTTAGCTTTACTACGTAGGTGATGAACATAAACACAACTCCAGCTAATATCCCAATACTTGAGAATGTGTTTGCCTTGAGGTTAGGTTGCAGAGCACTTATCCTTTCTGTATTTTTGATGTTCAGGTCCTTCATCAGTTGTAGGGATAGAACCTCCTCCATCGTTGTCAGCGGCCTCTCCAGTTGAATCATAGCTGGTAGTGGCTTATAGCTAGAGGTTTCGTATGATGAAAAAAACTGATTTATATATAATATATATAATTATATCTAATGTACAATTATTAAATTTAATTATGAACGATCCCTTAAGTGTTTGGGATTCATTATTACTTGAAATCTTACCACTAAAGTTGTTCAGAAGAAGAATACCTGTATCTATTAGTTCTATTGCTTTTATGTGATTATCGTTAATGAAGGTACAATTGTTTGGTGTATTTGTTATTAACTTTGAAATGCAGTTGTCATTTGAAAAATCTACAATATTTGATCTTAAGCACATACTGATTTTATTAATTTTTATAGCCTGTACCCAAAGGGTGAAAGGCTATACTAGTTTTGTGCGCATGTATGTAACACACAGAAGGAGGCGGGGCAGACCCCACAAAGTATATTATATATATATATATATATATATATATATATATATATATATATATATATATATATATATATATATATATATATATATATATTCTTGATCAGGATGAGAAGCCGAGTCGATATAGCCTTGTCCGTCCGTCCGTCTGTCCGTCTGTCTGTCCGTATGAACGCAAGGATCTCAGAAAGTATAAGAGCTAGAATAACCAAAATTGGTTTCCATATTCTCCTAAGACCGAGAAAGTACGAGTTTGAGTTTTTTTCGATGCACCCTCCCACTCCCCCGCAATTCGTGTTTTTTCTTATAACTTCCGTAATTCTCGGAATTTTGAAATCAATTTCGGTAGGTACATCCAGTTAGTACTAATGTGTCCGTATGCCAAATTTCATCATGATAGGTCGATTCTGAAGAAAGTTATAGCCATAAGTAAAATCGCTGCTCATGCGCTGCCTGCAGCTCTGTCGGCAGCGCTGCCCGCATCTGTTGTTGTTGTTGCTGCTTTTGTTCAACTTTGTGCTGCATACATACACGCATAGGTACGTGATGTAAATGTATGCTGTTAAAACTCAACATAAACATGTATTCTAATTTAATTTAATTAATTAATTAATTCATTTAATTTTTTTAATAATTTTTTTTTAAATTTTTTCTTTTTTGTGGAGAGTACAGGCTATTTTACTGTCGGGCTTGCTCGACTGTAGCGTTCTATCTTGTTTTTCATTGGTTGTTAGTTGAAAAGACTGCATTTTTACATTTAATGACATTTTCGTCTTTTATCTTTAATACCTGTTTATGCGGCAGCGCGCTGTTAACTACAGCCGAAGCTGGCGCAGCAGCAGCAGTCAATACTAACAGCTGTTAGCGCCTATGCTAGTTAACAGAGCGATGCCCGCTTCGCTGCCTCTCTCCCCAATAGTCGAATTAGTTTGTAAGCGCTTTACTGGTGAGACGGCATAATCTGAAAAGTGAACAGAGGAAAAACGAAAAGTGCAAGGTTTTTCTTACGCCGCCATTTTTAAACACAAGGAATTAACCCAACCGACGCCCTACTCCAATACATGGTCCTTCGAGCCGGATGCTGCACCTCCTACCACAACATAAGCATCGTGCAGATCTCATCCGTTCGCCCCAGCTTGTTCTTGGCACCGTTGGATTCCTAAAGAGAAAATAGAGCTAAGTAAAAAGCGCATTTTTTACTCTGCAACTTACCGCCATTTGTTCTGTCGGTCTGTCCGCCGACCCCCAAAACGGAATTAGCATCAAGCTTTCCGTTCCCTATCCAAGGGCTCAAACCAGCCACTGCGGAAGTGATTTTCCATCCTTCGCGCCTCCTATAAGGCAGCTTGTCTGCAACCAAAACGGCTTGCCAACGGCAGGTACCGCAACATAAAACACAATTGCAACACATTATTAAAAACAAATTTAATAAATCCGTCCATCCGCATTAATTTGCATTTGTAATCGCCGTCTCCTTAACAGTAAACGTACATATGCACATATGTACATATACAACACCATATGAACCTCACATGCAACAATAAATTTGGAATTAAACACTCACATATCAGCATACACAAGTGCATATATTTTTGCAACCATCAAAAGGCACATACATATATCACTCATATACATATATTAATTCATACATATACTAAATAAGCATATTATTATACACATATATTTTCCATCCGTACATAAATACTTATTCTACTAACACAATTCACGTAACGTGGCTGTCGATCCACGACTCCAAATTTAAAACAAATAAAATCTGCCAACGTTTCTTTGGCATACACAATAGCCCACGCGTGGCGCCTGCGTTTATGGAATTCACGAAAAAATTCCACCAATAAGTAATCTTGCCACCGGCATATGCCTATGCACTTGAGCGTATATCAACATACGCCGGCCACATCCTTATTTATTTTTTACGCATGTCCACATTTACACATATAACACCACACACTGCGCAAACGTATCCGTCTAACACTTGTCGATAATCCTCGCATTGGTATCTGGCTCGGGTATCTGTTGTTAATACACAATTGTACTAACACGACATAACACAACAACTCACCTATATAAAGAGTGCGCCCATCCGAAACACAACTTCAGAGGCGCCGACGCATATCTCACCATCTTCGCCAGGCCACCAGGCGCATATTCGACCAGCTTCACCGACACGAACGCGCGTTCCCGACATCAAATGTCAAAATTGTTGTTTATAATTATTACACACACATTTCGCTAATTAGTGGTGCGCATCAGCAATTATCGATACCAACTATCGGTGACTGAAGTCACGGTCACAATATTGGCCCCCTGCACACATTTGTTTTCTGCATGTTATTCCGCGCCCACTCCATTTAAAATTCAAACATAATAAAACTCTGGAAAAGCAATCAAAATTATTTTTATTAAATAAATACATAAAATACTATTTGCGGGTGCTTTATTTCCTTTGCAACCTTTTAGCGCATCCACAAAAAATTTGATTAAGAAGGAGACCAAAAAGGTGTTCAATATCTTACTGCCGGCGTTTAATTTCGACGGCAAAGCATTTCTCATCAACAAACAAAGCAAGAGCTTTTGTCCGTACATCCAAGGCGCCTCAAATAAGCCGCTCTTCTTGTCGTTAAGGCTCATAAGCGAGCATATTATGTCCAGCGACAGCGAGAAGGACAGCGCAAAGCTTTGTGCAGTTCCTATTGTCATTCCGTCCTCCCATCAGCCCAGGTCCAGTCCCTCTTCGACTCCAACGGTCCCAAGCTTAGATTCGCCCTCACCTTCACCCGCTCAACTGACAGTAAAGGTGAGCACCATACCCAAAACCACACCTCCAACTACGAGAGCAGCAGGTCAAAAAGCGTCAGCTAGCAACAAGATGGCGTTAAACCACTTCATTAGCGTCACTGACAAACTTTGTCAGTTCGAGGCTAATCTTGATCCTTCCTCCAGTGCCGAAACGTCTCTGTTCGCTCTTAAGGTCCACTTGGACCACGTCAAAACCTTGTGGGAAAAGGTGGAACAAGAGTGTGAACGCTGCACACGGGCTCTGAATGAGTCAGAGTCCGGCCTTTCAGAACGGCAAGCGATGCAAGCAAAATATGACCACTGCTACTCGGTGTACGTTCGATGTGCCTCCACTCTGAGTGAGCAAATCGAGCGATGTTCCGCTCTTAATCGAGCACCAGCACCCACTATCCAATCCAGGGGCTGCAGCCTCCCTCCAATCGAGACCGAGGTGTTCAAGGGTGACTATCTGAAGTGGCCCACCTTCAGGGACCTCTTTACTGCGGTCTATATAAATCATCCCAGTTTGACTGAAGTTCAGAAACTGGCCCACCTAAACGCAAAAACGAGTGGTGAAGCAAAAGCTATTGTCAAAAAATCGCCCCTCACCAACGAGGGTTTCCAATCTGCTTGGGCTGCCTTGACTGCGCGTTTTGAAAACAAACGACTTCTAGTCAGCAGCCAGATGAAGATTTTATTCAATATATCGCCCATCTCCCAAGAGTCGGGAGCCTCCCTAAAGGAGCTCCAGAGTACCATGCAGGGATGCTTGACGGCTCTTGAACATTCCAAAATCAGCACTGAGAACTGGGACTGCCTGTTAGTCTATTTGTGTACTTCTAAACTACCGAGACTGACTCTCTTACTTTGGGAACAGTCTCTCCAAGATAAAACAGAGGTTCCTTTCTGGTCGGAATTAAATCACTTCCTCCTCGAGCGTCATCGTACTTTAGAGGCAATAGAGGAAATGAAACCGAGCATAAGCGTGCGGCAGCCCAAAGAACCAACTGCCAAAAAAATCCAATCATTTGAGGCAAAAGTCAGCGCCAAAACACAGGCGTGTAAACTTTGTTCGAAGGAGAATCATCCTGTTCGCCTCTGTCCGAGTTTTCTCCGAATGTCCGTCCAGGAACGCTCCAAAACTATTAAGCAGCTCAAGTTGTGCTTAAATTGCTTTGCTCGGGGGCACCAACTAAAAGATTGCACGAGTCAATACAACTGTTTGACGTGCAAGGGCCGCCACAATACACTATTACACCGTGGTGCGCCCCCTCCATCTGTGCCTTCGGCATCATCCATTCCTTCCTCCAATGCACCACCTACTTCCACGCACACGAATGTTCAAAATTATTTTTCCTCCAACACCCAAGGGGTACTCTTAGGCACGGCCATTGTCACCATTGTACAAGCAGGCACTGCTTATCCAGCGCGCGCCCTGATCGACTCAGGCTCTGAAGGGACCTTTATTTCTGAAAGACTGAGGAATTGGATAAAGTTGCCCTTCAAAAGGGTCCAAGCCCAAGTGTCCGGGCTTAACCAGACGGTAGCAGGCCTGACGACCAAGATGTGCAACATAAAGTTGGTCTCGCCCACGCATCCAGCCACGGACATCGAAGCCTCAGCTTTCGTGCTACCGCAGCTAGCAGGTAACCTGCCATCTTACTCCTTTCCTCGGGAGGCTTTAAAAGACCTCCCAAATCTGCCGCTAGCTGACCCATCATTCTTCCGAAGCTCTCCCATTGATGTACTAATCGGTGCGGGTATACTTCCTTCCATCCTACTGGGTGGTTCCCAGTCCAATGTCTGTGGTTCGCTGTTAGCTCAGGAAACTGTCTTTGGGTGGATTCTTACTGGCCCAGTGTCCACAGCAGGAAACACGACCATAGCGTCTTTCGCAACACGTGTTGCTCTGTACGATGAGCCCGCATTAGATCAGTTGCTCACAAAATTTTGGGAGGTGGAGGATGTCCCAGCCAACTGCCCCAAAGCTGAAGATTTGTTTTGTGAACAGCTATTCCAGCGCACAACAAAACGACAGACGGATGGAAGATATATGGTCTCACTCCCTTTCAAGGAACCAAACCAGATCGAGCTGGGCCATTCCAGGTCTATTGCGCTCGCGCAATTTTTAAGAAATGAGGCGAGACTAAAAAGGAACCCTCCATTGAAGGAGCAGTATGACGCTGTCATTACAGCATACGGGACCGGTCCTCCAATCCTGCAAGTATTAAAATGGCGCTTTTTCCGGTATGTGTTCAGTGCCGATATTTCGAAGATGTATCGGCAAATTCTAGTCAATCCTGAACACACCCCTTAACAACGAATTCTCTACCGCAATCCAGCGGGTGATCTGTGCGACTTTGAACTTAGCACAGTCACCTTTGGTGTAAACTGTGCACCATTCCTGGCCATCCGCGTCCTCCTGCAGCTCGCTGAGGACTCCCAAGCTCAGTATCCGCTTGCCAGTCGGATTCTCACAAACTTTATGTATGTAGATGATGTCCTAGCTGGAGCGCATACGCAGCCGAACGCGCTCTCATCCATAAGAGAGCTCCAAGCAGCATTTAACGCCGCAGGCTTTCCGCTGCGAAAGTGGACTGCCAACAGCAAGGCGCTCCTACGGGGCCTACCGGAGGAACATCTGTTACACGCCGACTTTCTGGATATTGAGGATGCCAGCGTGACTAAAACGCTAGGCATCAGATGGAAGGCAACGACCGACGAGTTCCGCTTCGTCGCCAGCGACTTGGAGTCGAAATCTAGCTTCACAAAACGTGAGGTCCTGTCGCAGATTGCAAAACTGTTCGACCCGGCAGGCTGGTTAGCCCCCTTTATTATCCGTTCAAAGATGTTTATGCAGGAGATTTGGCTAAGCGGGATAGGATGGGACGACCCTCTCCCCTCCGAGTTGCTTCAGAAGTGGCACGAATTCCTCCACAGCTATCCATCGCTAGACCAGATTCGAATCCCTAGGTGGGTACATTTCCACCACCAAGGCTCCTTCCAATACCATGAGTTTTGCGACGCATCGCAACGGGCATATGGAGCTGCCATCTACATCCGAGTGGAGTTACACCGGAATATGCAAGTGCATCTGCTGGCAGCCAAAACCAAAGTGGCTCCAGTGAAAACGGTGTCCTTACCGCGCCTCGAGCTGTGTGGCGCGGTACTCCTTGCTGATATGTGCGCAGCGATCCTTCCACACCTTCCACTTAGCAGCTTCGCAACACAGTACTGGACAGATTCATCCATCGTCCTTGCATGGTTGCACAAGCCAGCATGCAATTGGACCACCTTCGTGGCAAACCGGGTATCTCGGATCATTCAGGCCACGGATGGAAAGGATTGGTTCCATGTGCGTTCCGAGCACAACCCAGCCGACCTTGCAAGTCGAGGTGTTTTGCCGCAAGAATTGGCGGACAGCGATTTATGGTGGCATGGACCAGTTTGGCTCCGGACTCCACGTCAGTATTGGCCCATACAGGAGCAGATCTCTCATGAGACAGCTCTCGAGCAGCGCAGCATCCATAGTCACCTCGCAACTCTACCCAAGACTCCGGACTTTTTAGAGCGGTTCTCCGAGTTCGGTAAAGCAATCAGGGTACTGGCGTACGTCCAACGCTTCATCCATCGTTGCCGGAAAGTACCCTCTCCTCCGTCCACAGAACTCAGTCACCGAGAATTAACCAACGCCCAACGCGTTCTAGTGGTCTCCGCCCAGCGAAGGGAATACCCCCAGGAATACTGCGCTTTGTCTAATAAAACGAAGATAGCGTCCAGTAGCAGCATCCTGAATCTCAATCCATTCATGGATGACCAAGGGGTCATGCGATCATGTGGCCGACTTTCCGTCTCCAATTCGCTGACCTATGACGAACGCCATCCCATAATCCTTCCATACAGCTGCACCTTGTCGCGACTCCTGGTACTGTTTTCCCACAGGATTTCACTCCATGGAGGAAATCAGTATACGGTCAGCCTCATCCGCTCTAAATACTGGATTCCCAGACTACGGAATCTCGTCAAAGCCGTAATCCGTTCATGCAAGGTTTGCGTCGTTTACAAAAAGCGGCTGCAAACCCACCCACCCCCTTCCGGCTCCAAGGAGTACATTTTCTCCCCCTTTTACCAATACAGGTATCGACTTCGCCGGTCCGTTCCACATCAAAAACTATACAGGTCGAGCCTGCCTAATTACAAAAGGATATGTGTGTGTCTTCGTGTGTTTTAGTACGAAGGCCATACACCTAGAAGTCACATCCGACCTGACCGCGGAAAAGTTTCTGGCAGCATTCGCACGCTTCGTGGCCAGACGGCGGTGCCCTCAACAGATTTACTCTGACAACGGCACGACATTCGTTGGAGCATCAAAGGCATTAGAACGGGACTTCCTGGAAGCCACCAGG